AAGTAGTTCATATTGTCACATTATTCAAGTATAGCACAGGATAGCTGAGACAAGCCCAACTACTTGAAGTTAGTCTTTCCAGTCCCGGCTATACTGAATACATTTAAATTACATATTAAAAGTAGCTAACTACCTCTACTGACAAAAAAAAAGGTTTTCCTCATTGAATATTTATCTAATAAAATATTTTGAAATTTATTATAAAAACTTTCGAAAAACTTTTATTTGCCAGTATTTATATCCATTATTTTCTAATTTATTTATGAATAATATGACATTATCCATAAAAAATGTGCTGTTATTACAAACAGTTAAAAATCTTTTTAATTGAGACGTAATTACGCCTTTCAGCATCATACGAGGAACTACACTATTGGAGGTAGGTAGACCAAGGATGGGAAAATTAAATGCTCTTCTCTTGTCAAAATATTTAGTTGCGCTTTACCATTTACTAATTTGATATCCAAATTTAAATAATAAGCATGATTATTATTATTACTTTTTTTCTGTTTCAAATTCTTTTGGATATATTAAACTTGGTGAAACGTACTGATTATTTATAGCAATTAGATCATCTATGTAACAAAAAGTATCTATATTATGATTCTGCTTGTTTATCGGCCCGGCATGGCCAGGTGGTTAGGGCGCTCGACTCGCAATCTGCGGGCCGAGGGTTAGAATCCCCGTTACACCAAACATGCTCGCCCTTTCAGCCATGGGGGCGTTATAATGTGACGGTCAATCCCACTATTCGTTGGTAAAAGAGTAGTCCAAGAGTTGGCGGTGGGTGGTGATGACTAGCTGCCTTCACTCTAGTCTTACACTGCAAAATTAGAGACGGCTAGCGCAGATAGCCCTCGTGTAGCTTTGGGCGAAATTCATAACCAACAAACAAACAAATGCTTGTTTATATGTACGACCGTTACGCTTTCTGACCGAGAACCCGCTGCATAAGCATGCGTAGTTAGAATGTTTCCCCATGCGCATTATTCAATGGACGACAAACAGTCTGCCTGCGGCAGAGAGCTGCAAAGCTTAGTGATCAAGTCGCTACAATTGCTGTATGAAACAAGAAGTAACAACAAAAGGGGTATGTAAATATACTTCACTAAACATTTTGTACAACGGAATATTAAAAACTTATCAAAGTTTTTAAAAAAGGTTTGACGTTAGGTCGTAGAATAGCATTATAAGTTTATTTATCGATAGTATTGAGTACAGTAAAGTTTAGTCCTAACT